TTTGGCTATTGCTACAAATATACCCCAGCGACTTAAGACTGCTTTTGTGCTCCAGGGTCACATATTTGAAAATACTGTCCTGTTATTACATCTGTAATTAATTTCTGTACTTACATCTATAATTACACTGTTGACTCTACCACTTAAATCTAACCAGACCATCAAACCTTCACCTAACCTCACCCATATCCCACCTCAATAACAGCAAACGTGTTTATCAATTCAACACAGGGGTGTGAACTAACGAATTACAAATACTCACGTTACAGTAATTAAGTAGTTTTAAACAGGCTACTCTTTTACTCTTACTCAAGTAGTTTTTTGGACAAGTACTTTTACTCTACTCACACTACATTTTTTGGAAGGTAATGGTACTTTTACTTGAGTATATTTTTTCAGTACTCTTTCCACCAGATTCAACAAACACAATAGGTATGTTGTACTTAACAATTCATTATTTTATTATTAAAGGACACCTATTATGCAAAATCCACTTTTACATGGTGTTTGGACATAAATGTGTGTTGGCAGTGTGTGAACACAACCGCCCTACAATGATAAAACTGTTATTTTAGAATGTATCGTCTTGTTGCTTCCATGGCGACGTGTCATGATTGTCATGTGACACACCGCAGCCACAATATAGCTGTGAATGAGTGATGTATCGCTTTTTATTTCATTTTTCCCGTTTTATTCAAAATATTCACAAATGTGTTCATTATATTATGAAATATCTGATATTCCGATTCTCAGATACGTGCAAGTAAATGCATTTGGTAGTTTAAACACCTTTATAATGACCATGTTAGTTGATGTATAGCGGCTGAATACAGCTAATATAAAGTGGGGCCAAAGTTTCAAATCAATATTTCTCATTACAGATAAACAACTATTCAATAATAAAACTACACTCACTGTAGTTTCTGCAGTTTGCAGTGTGGATCCTCCAGTAGAGCAGAGAGCAGCTTCCCTCCTGAATCTCCTGGTTTATTATAGTTCAGATCCAGTTCTCTCAGGTGTGAGGGGTTTAATCTCAGAGCTGAACTCAGAGCAGCACAGCCTTTCTCTCTTCAGAAAAGCAAAGCTTGTATGCATGGTGAATCTCACAAAAACTTGTTCATATTTCACCCCAAAATGAGAAGCATCAAATAAGAACCAGATGTTTAATTGTCATGAAATTAGTTCTGTTTCTTTATGGCAAATATAAAATGCAATGCATTTAGAAAGTATTCAGACCACTTCATTTTTTCATGTATTTATTATGTGGCAGCCTTAAAATGCACATAATTTCACTGCAATCTACAATCCATAGCCAATAATAACACTTTTAAAAGCAGACTTGTAAAGTTTTTACACATTTATTAAATCTTTCCCCGCCAAACACGGAATTTTCCGTTATTCATGAGACGACGCTTCCATGCCAAACATGGAATTTTCGGCGTTTCCGTGATTTCACTGTTATACACTGTTTTACACTGTTTCACTGTTATATGCTATTACACATCTCCTGAAAGAGTTTAGAATCACTCGATCAAAAACACAGATGAGGAAGACACAGAAACAAGCGATCTCGTATGTAAGCATATGCATATGAAAAATAATGCGATCATCAACAATAAACAGCATATAAATGAAAACTGCCTAATGTTACTGAGTGAAATGGCAATCCCGGAAGTGGTAAAAGGACTGTGAAGCTTTGGCGGTGTTGATGGAAGCGATCTACTGCATCTATGCTTTGATCAACGAACTGAATATGATCCAAATGTAGTATTTGATAAAAATGCAATTTTTTGATCAAAATTTAGCTTTTTTTATGAAACTTACCTACATTTAAGTGTTGAATAAAACAATAAATTTTTATTCAAGCTAGAATAAAACAGATTTTTTTTGTTTGTTTGTTTAAAAGTAGAGGCTCTGTATTTTATTTTGATGTATTGCATGTTCAGATATTTATACAACAAAATATTCTGGTGGCTATGAATGTTTTTGTGAAAATGATCAAAAATGCTGGTGGTGGCTGGAAA